GCTTCTGTGCGATGTGCATCCGTAGCTTTCTGAATATTTGACGGCATATCAAAACTATCCAGTAGAATATCTAGTGGTAGCAGTGGATTACTGGTGCTTGCTGGGGTGCTAATTGGTCGCAGCTGATTCGCATGTTTGGTCCAACTCAAAGTACCTATTCTTACCTCATAAAGTACCCGACCAATCCTTCTCCGGATCGATCCTATCACCCACTGAGGATTTCCCACGCGATAGTCTCTGACCAAAGCATGTTGTCTTTGGGAAAATTGACATGCTTGCGTTCTGTGTCGCTTATTGTAGTACCTTTCCATTCGAGGGTGCCTTTGTTGTAAGATAGTGCGCCTCGGGAGCAGCAAGGAATTTACAGCATGGAGCTTATGGGGCTGAGCACTCCTACAGATCTGGTTGATGGGAACATCCAGAAAGTTGGAACTTTTGATCCACTCTAGCCCAAGTAGACTCAGGTTCTTATGATTTGTGACGAAAATTTTTCCCCAAACGGTGAGATCGGGAAAGCGGCACTCACATTCAATCTAACCGATTAAATTCAAGTTGGTGCCTGATGTGCTCATCGCTTGTTGTCCGGTCGGCTTAATGTCAGGTGCACCAACAGTCTTCCACAAGTTTTCCGAAATGACAGTGATGTCGGATGTCGTGTCAATTTGCAAACGTGCCAATCTCCCGTTGATGCTGATAGTGACAAACTTCCTCCTATCCTTAACATCTTCGGTGAAGTTAGCGTTTACTCTCCTTGTAGACTTGCCGCGACCTTGTCTTCGGGCAGTGTATGCTGGTCTGAATCATACTTTGAATCTGCAGTGGGTCTGCTTGTTTTCACGTCTATGACACTTCTGGCGGACATGTTTACGGAAAAGGCACCATCTCACAAATGCCAACCTCCGCATTGCCAGCAAGCTGATAGGGGTTTAGCTTGTGGACTTCTCTTGGGCTCATTTACCTTAGTGTTGCTCCTTGAAACTTACTGGACAGTAATATCACTAGTATGCATCTTTGAATCCTCCAACATAGCTGCGTCCTGCCTTAACGCTTTGTGTCCTGATGGTACTTATAAGTGTAACTTTGTTTTATTTGTAATACTGCTTCAGCACAAGCGTCATTATTGCCGGTACTCGCGATGCTACGTACAATGGCCTTCTGTTAATAATTAACTAAGGGCTACAACTCTGATACTTCGCTCTACAGTGTGTGGAGTAAACTATTGTGGTTCATGTCGAGCTATAGGTAAATTAATTCAGGACTCAAAAGGTTAACTTCATGGTCCTCTGGGCTTCAAAAACGACGTTCATATTCACGCTTCACTGTTGCTGCATGAACAGTAAAACTTCCACTGTCTTTCTTGCAAATCTTCCAACGATTGTATCGATCATTAAAAAGCGATGAGTGGTCTCCAAACACTTCTTTGAGCCAGGTAACTGTGTCATCAAAGCTGAACTCGTGGGCGCTCTTTGTTAAAATGTAGTTGAAATATCTATCATGCTCGACCGTTCCCAGTTTTCGAAACAAAAGGCTAACTTTCGACGCATCATCGAGATTTGACAACTCCGTCCTGAAAACATCTTCATAGCACCTAAACCAAGTATTGAATATTAGTCCTGAATCAGGATCAGAAATGAACTCACTAACGCTGCTGATCACTGCGTCAACTGCAGGCTACCGCGCAAGCTGACTGGCCGACTTCCCAAATTAGAAGACAAAGAACTCAAGCGAAACCTGTATTGCGCACCCGGCAAGCAGTATAAGCAAATCACATAATGGGGTCGAATCAATAGTTAATAAGCGAAGTACCTAGCACTCACTGGCGGGATTCAAGGTAGACCGTCCTTGTTGGTAGCGTACAAGGTGAAGCGTCACCATTAACCAGCTCTCATTGGTTGGCCTGCGTCATGGTCAACTGTTCCGCACTGTTAGGAAAGGGGTGCCTGTCCCGTTAACGGGTTCGCGCTGGAAGTTGTTACGAAAGTAGAAAGCTACCCCACCACCTTTGCTGGCTCGATCATTCCGGACAATGGACATACCTGTTAGCGCGATTTCGGCATCTGTTATCACACCGCGCAATCACGTTTCCGTGATAGCAATGACGTCTCAAGATGCTGACCCATGTCGAAGTCTCAATTCAGGTAATTTGCTGAGTACCCCTCGGGAATTTCTGTACATGTAGGGGAACTTCTCGAAGACCAGAAGCGTGTTGGATGTGATGAATGTAGCGAGTGAGTTTACGCCGACTGATAAAGGGTCGGCGGCCAATCGTTTTTTGGAGTGGTTGCAGTCTCCCTCAGTGTTATAACAGTGAACGTTTACGACAGTAACATGCCCAGAACGTTTACTTGATGCGCTTGGGTTTACCATAGGTTCATCCTATCCCTTTTCTTGCTCTTCAATCACATGGCCATCTCTTATCATTTCCTACTGTATGACAGTGAAATTTCGGTACTGTGTACTATCATACTGCTGTTGTTGATGATGAGTATTGATGACCACAGTCACAGTTTACCAAGCTAAAACTCCATAGCTCTTTCTTCTTAGGACAACTGCCTCCGTATCCTAATAATTTGCGGTACATTTATTACCAATGATGCATCAGCATCCATTATGCCTTAACTACGAATTCTTAGGACATTTTCACTAGACCTATACTCTTGCGCATGTAGCTGTCTTCTTTGAGATATTGACAAAGTTTGGTAGCCTGTTTTGTTATTTAGTCACTCGAACTGTTCTCCATGCCTGGAAACTGTGTAACAAACGTTTGGTCATCAATCGAGGTGACATCATGAGCACCTTGATGCGTACCGGGGTTGAGCTGCTTTACATCACAGAATTACTCCTTATCTTAATTCCAACTTCCAAAACAGTGTCTTGAGGCTACCTTTAGGTAAGCTACATCCTTGTGCACATTAATTGAAACAAACTACGATTGTGTCTCTTTTTCTATGAATGTCATGTTTTTATACATTAAAGCTGCCTTTTTGGCTTTTATTTTTTAATATTATTTTAGGAATAGATATTTCACCATTGTTTGTGAATCAGACGATGTAATAACTGCGCATGTCTAGTCGTTACATCACCCAAGATTGCGTCATACTTTTTATGGCTAGTAAGGTTTTTGTTTCAACTTCTTGCTTTTGTGATTCAGTCACTGTTTGAGATGGACGTGACTCCCAGAAGGCGCATGAAGATCGTGACCTTGCACGAACACACAGACAAGACCAACAGGGACATAGTAAGAATAGTAGGCGTCAGTCCGGAAACCGTCAGCCGTGTGGTCACAAAGAAAAAGGAAACGGGATGCATTTCGCCAAAACGCAAAGGGAAATGTGGTCCTAAGAGGAAAACCACTGTCAGGGATGACGCTTACCTAATACGGGAAAGTGTTAAAGATCCTCGAAAGACTAGTGACGCATGAAAACGTGATTTGGGGGAGAAAGGAATAGAAATCAGTTCTTGAACGGTTCGCAGGCGACTCCTGGAAGTTGGTCGGAAAGCCAGACGGCCTGTGAAAAAACAACTTCTGACAAAAGTAATGAAAGTTAAGCGTTACAAATGGGGACTAAAATGCAAAAACTGGACAAAAGAAGATTGGAGAAAAGTCCCATTCAGCGATGAAAGCCATTTCTATGTTCATGGTCAGAGAAGTCAGTATGTTCGGAGGTCAGAGGGAGAAAAGCTTCGTGATTCCCACATTGACCACTTTGTGAAACACCCCGAATTAAAGCTTGAATAAGTTTCTCCTTTGTCGTATAGTCCATGCCAAACCACAGCTTTAATCTGGTGAATTCCCAGGCCAGTCCAAGATGGTTATCTGATTAGTATTGAAAAAAGTCTTGACCATTTTTGATGTGTGGCACGGGGCCAGATCCCGTTGAAGAACTGATTTCTATTCCTTTCTCCCCCAAATCACGTCTTCATGCGTCACTAGTCTTTCGAGGATCTTTAACACTTTCCCGTATTAGGTAAGCGTCATCCCTGGCAGTGGTTTTCCTCTTAGGACCACATTTCCCTTTGCGTTTTGGCGAAATGCATCCCGTTTCCTTTTTCTTTGTGACCACACGGCTGACGGTTTCCGGACTGACGCCTACTATTCTTACTATGTCCCTGTTGGTCTTGTCTGTGTGTTCGTGCAAGGTCACGATCTTCATGCGCCTTCTGGGAGTCACGTCCATCTCAAACAATGACTGAATCACAAAAGCAAGAAGTTGAAACAAAAACCTTACTAACCATAAAAAGTATGACGCAATCTTGGGTGATGTAACGACTAGACATGCGCAGTTATTACATCGTCTGATTCACAAACAATGGTGAAATATCTATTCCTAAAATAATATTAAAAAATAAAAGCCAAAAAGGCAGCTTTAATGTATAAAAACATGACATTCATAGAAAAAGAGACACAATCGTAGTTTGTTTCAATTAATGTGCACAAGGATGTATGTCCACAGGCCAGCCTGGAAGTGCACTTGCAGGGTACCGCATATGTATCAGTTGCGCTATACCCGTCTAATCTTTATAATTTCATGCAACAAATTTTCACGTCTATTTCGTCGACAACATTTAGTTGTTTTATTTTCATGCTTGTGTGGATGTCAGTTACCGACGCAGTATAGTGTTATACCCCTGTACACTCTTCCTTTTCATGTGCGGTTCTGTGTCCGACTTTTTTAAGCTTTTGTCGATGAAACCGAAAGCTGTGTCGCATACTTTTTCAGTTATCCTTCTATGGGTACACCTTCGAGCATTCTTGCTGAAATGTCGTCGCCAAACTCCTTTTATTGATGCCTTTGAAGCGTGCTTCGCTCTTTGCCACTGCCACTTTTCCCTCCGAGCTTTTGGCGCAGGCGATGATTCTTTAATTGCTGCTGCTGCTGCTGCCATCAAGGTCCGAGCTAATGGATTGCTTTTTCATTTTCGTTTTTCTTTATTAGCTGCCTTTCATCAAACCGTTTTTAGTTCCCCGTTCACTTAATGTGGCGCGCATTTGCTTCCAGGTCGGCATCGTCGGAAGAACAGGATCAGGGAAATCTTCCCTTGTACTGGGTCTGTTTCGTATGCTTGAAGCCGCCGAGGGGCGCATTATGATTGACAATGTGGACATCTCACGGCTTGGGTTGCACGAGTTGCGCCAACGTCTGGCACTTATACCTCAGGTGGGTGCTTATTCTGCATTTGCCCTACTCAGTGTCGGCTGATTTTTCTACGGGTACCATTAGCTTCATCTCAGCTGGGCGACCACTCATCTCCCACAATATTTGTAATCAAGGTTTGCTCCGTTATGACACTTGATATGCATGACACCTATTATTATTATTATTATTATTATTATTATATTCAACACCTGACCAATATACAATTGGCAGTGCCATAACACAGTTAACACCAATAATAATAATAATAATAATAATAATAATAATAATAAGGGAAAACAGATAGACAGTGGAAAGGTTTGAAAAGTTTACAAAGTTAATCTACTCACTTCTGTAACCAGAAGCGAGTACCTAACGGAGGGCGGATGAACAACCTTGTTGGCCACCGGCTTCTCTGTTTACTGCTACTGAACACAAAGAAAGCGAATGAGCTACCCGGATGTCAACGGTCTCCGTTGATCGTCCCACTACCTTGCGGGTTAGGTCTTTATGACCAAAGGGGTAGGGTCCCTTAAGTCAATCCTCTTCCTCTACCTGGGCAACCGGGAAGATCTCTGCCCACACAACACATTAACCTTTCATGCCAGCTATTGAGCATCCCTCATTTGGGATGCTGCTGATAACTTGGTCCTGCTGCGTTCACTCACCGTGCTCCTTGACCTGAATGGTCTACCCGACACTATATGGTGGGCGAGGAAGATACTACACTACCGTCCATCAACATCCAGTTCATCCAATAATTTATCAAAACATTCACCTTATTTTCACTTATACCAAACCACACACATACCACTTCAGTCCAATTGTCCTCGTTCCAGTCGATCCAGAATCGGTCAAGCCGACTTTTGCTCGGCATAAAATAGACTGACTATTCACCTTTCGTGCAGGACTGCAGCAGCGCCACGCCTGTGATGACGCACCATGGTTGTCTTCTAGTTCAGCTGATCGCGCCCGTTCTCGCCACTGTCTCTGAGTTTTGTGCTAACGACAGCCTTCTCACCGGACCACGAGTGCCTGGATCGAGTGTTGGTCTTCAGTTGACTCTTAACACATTCTTCCAACTCTTTTGTTACCTCATGTCAGATAAGTCAAGGGCTTTTGGTCTGGTGGGCTCGGTCTAGGTCAGGGGTATCCAAAAAAGGCTACGGGATTCTATCGTCACACTTCTAAGTCGGACCAGGTTCCTACTGTCTTGTCGGTTCGACTATTGAGCATGGACTCAGCTTCAGTTTTTATGCTAACGACTGCTTTTCTCGCTTTTTTTACTGAATGAGCCTGTCGAGCCAAAGCCTTTATTTGGATGCTGTAGAACAGAACCCTCTCATGTAAGTTTCCTCTTCTCACTTAAACAAACATGCATTTACGTCGCCTATCACACTGACATGGAAACCAAGTCACTTTGTGAGCTTGGAGTACCATTCCACACTAGATATTTTTCACATGCACGTGATGTCAACAAGTTGCAGTGTCCGACTTTGCACACTCTCAGAGTCAACGTATTCCATGTAGTTGCGTCCTGCTACATTTGTGCCATCAACCTCGAAGCCCAGCTTCGAACATATGCGTTTCTCTTCGCCAATGATCCGAATTCGGGACTCGCGACAAGGCAGTATGGTGGTGTTTCTCGGAACAACTGCTCAATGATTGCTTTACCTGAGTAGGTCAGTGATCAGGCGCTTGTCCCAGTTTTGACTTTGGACCTTTTGCAGAGTCAATGAAGCAGCAGGATGACGGCGTTCGAACACTACATTATCAGCCGCCTTAATCACCTGTGCACCGAATGCAACCACTTTTATCTGCATTGAAACTCTTCAGCACAAGCGTTAGCGTCCCCCATTTCTGATCCACGCCGAACGGTAAGCCTCCCTGAAATCCGGTCTACCCTATAGCATGTCATTCTGAATCACTCACTTTCATTCCGCTCATGCTGTCGCGCTTTTGCATCACTCCCACTCTACTGGCTTCGGTATCTACATCCGAATTGCGTCGTCAGTTGTTACTAACACACGAAGGGATCAATGGAATACCAATCTGAAAATCCTCCGATGTGCTGTGTACAAAATCTTCGTCGCGCTCGCCGATCAAGCTTGCTGTACTCAAGCCGTGGATAGTTTTCTGATTTTACGATCGATTTAGCAGAAGTCAATTGGGCTTTCAACTAAATTATCCTGAGAACACTAGGAATCTGCGCTGATCAGGAGCTCTGTGGACGAAACGAACTTGCGAATTTTGGAGCGTCAGAGGTGTCCGTAACACGCGTACGCCGTTCCAGTTCTGTCGAATTACGGGTCCAACCTGGTTCCTGGAATCCCGTAATTTGTGTCTTTTATCAGGTATATAAATGGCTCCGTTTTATTGCCATCGCTTGTCATTTCGCTTTAGCTCAACTTAGATATCAGCTTCCTGATTTCCAGTCCAAACGTAAACCAATCCCTAAGATTTATTTTGAGTTTTAGAGCACCAGCTGTGCGTCTTGGATTGCGACACGCAATCTCAATTGTGGCCTCAGTTAACTTTGAAGTCAACCCCTGCCAATCCTTAAGATTCTCACTTGGTCATTTATGTCCAGGCTTCTTCACCTGTAGCAACTCTCTGTAACAGCCTACACAGATGGTCTTCATTGACCTGAATTCTGCTGCTTCCACTTTAGTTTATCGCACTTTCTGTTGCACGGTATATTCTTGTGACTCGGACTCAGAGAGTCCAAAATACGTGAATTGCGCATCGCGTCGTCATTTAAGTTCCTACTGGAAGCTGTCTCAATTCACCGCGATGCACCACGACCTCTACGTTGTGGACGCCCTTTCCGCCTGATGGAGGGTACTCTGGCGGAAATCACAGTCTATTGTGAACTTAACATGTTCGGACTCACCAGCACGACTGACATGTTGCATGCATTGCTACTCTACCGGTTCGACGGCCCCTGCCAATATTCAGCCGACAACTGAGACAAACAAGGCAAGACAGACTAGAATCGGGCGCCCTTGGGACCGCCAGCGTCTGACCATGTGCCACCCCATATGCTTGGGCGCAACACAGCACATGGGGAAATGGTGGCGATCTAATGCAAGTAAAATTGCAGAATAGAGCCGGATTACAAACTCTTAATTTGGACGTTGATGCCCGGTTGTAATTCGGTCAGTACGGCAGCCGTCAAATCAAACAATGTGAATCGGCGTTATTTCGAAGAAAGGCACGACTATACCTGTCGTGAGAATTCTGATGACGATTTTGTGACATCAACAACATTTCTGCCTTTATTTTCGTTACATTGAGGTTTTGGTGAGTTCTCCGGACAGAGCAGATTTGTTCCAGGCGTTCCGTCACCAATCTAGGTGACATCATTAGTGTTTGGTAATAAATAAACTGTTAGCAGATATTCAGTCACCAACGAAATCAGCCTCTGTACTCGGTCGTGGCTAAGGTCGCATGTGGCTATCCAGACACACTGCGGGTAATCCAGAAAACGACACTGTACTTTTAGCCATTGTGTTAAGCGTTGGTCACGGAACTCATTGGCTTAGTGACCAAGGCGTCAGTATCTGCAGCTATCTCCAACTGACGACTCCAGACAAGGACGAAACCAGTCGGGGAGTGCAGTGCTTTGAGAGAGCAACTCCAAATTAAGCTGGCCACTTGCGCGGAAAGCAGGGAGAGCAGTAGTTAAGTGCAAAGCAGAGGTGAGGCGATGTGAGCGGTTCGTTTTCACCGGCCAAACCTCAGAACTCCTGATTGGCCGGCTCCAGTGTGAAAATGAACGTCTTCCCTTCGGCTCAAAGCAAGGTCTACTCATGAGTGGGGTGTTTTCTATGTTAATAATTGGTTCTTTTCGCAGTACCTTCCAAATCAGGTATTTCTCCATATGAGCGACAAATTTGCTTGGGACTTGAGCAACTCGTAAAACTCCTGGACCAAACCAAAACAAGTACGAATAGTGATTACGGCACTGTTAAGATAAATTTCAATATGCGCTACGGACATATCTCAACAACACATGCTCAGTCGTGAAACAACCGGTTCTTTGTAAGGAATGTATAAATCACCGTACTTGCGATTGTACAGCCAGATCACACAACCCAAGGTCTGCAAGCGGAATCCCACAGGATCTTTTATTGGGTCACAATCTTAACTATAGTGGCTTGGTCGCTGTACTGTGCATAGTGGGATACGACGCGTTAGGTTCACTGGTGGCTTCCAGGGGGTGTAACGTGTCACGAGGAGGGCGTGCCCGAAGGCGTAAATGAGCAGATGGCTGGCAGGTGTGACCCATGGGGCAAGTTCTACGACCGGTACCGAGCAATTGTGACAGGTGGGGTTGAAATAAAATCATGGGCGACATCGAATAGGAAAGTATAGGGAGGGTGTGATAAGTAGATGGTAAGCTGGAATTTGGCAGATGAAGCACGTGTTACTTATCATGATCCACAACAATATTCCAATATCGGCTTGTGTCTTAATGTTACCGTCAACACTTACGTGCTCGGAAAATTACTGAACAGCCGTGTCTCGCTGGGCCGGCTTTGTGCTCTGCAACATGCCTAACTTTCATCGTATTGGAGAATTAGTCACACTATATCGCACTTAGCTTGTAACTCCTGACAGTCCTCTACTGTCCATAATGGTTTGGCGGCATAAGCTGATGGCTAGCGATACAGGTAGCGTCTGGTCATGTGTTCCGATCTTGATGAGCCGGTGGGTGTGCGCTACTGACGAGTCCAAATAACACGGAACGACCGTCTAATGATTTTCCGGGCATGTAGAGGACTATCTGATTTGAAAGCTGCTGCCAACAACTCTGAATTTGTTACATCAAAATTTTCCTACTCATAAGTACATCAAAATATTCATCACAACGGTTTCTTAACTAAGGTGCACATAGGTGCTAACTGAGGTGCCACTTCGCTGCATGTTAACTGTTTAGTCCATCTTCAATAGTCAAATGTAAAGTAGCTATGGATTGTTCTGCAGCCTGTCATATGATATCTTTATCACAAAAATAGGAC